TTAAAGAAAACCGATAAGTCTAAAAACATGAACATCGGGAAACGGTAGACTAAACGCTATATGTGCGTCAAAAAAGATACATTAAAGCTTACGTTTATTCAACAAACAGAAAGGAATTTATAAACCGTTAAAACTTAACAAAAAAAAAATGCATTAGTGAAAGTGATGACGGACTCTAGAATATACTAAAATGCACATTTGTATTCCTGACTGGAGCATCTGCGATCATTGACTTGTTCACCGCTTTAATGAATAAGCCTTTGTTCACACGCCCTTCTCCTCCACTCACCATCCAACGAAGAAATCTTAAAGAAGATATCACACCATCGTCAGACTTTCCTCGTGCACGACTGGTTTCTGATCTTTACTTGAGTGTGACAGAGGTTTAGGTGTGCATAAGACTCGCCGACAACAAGGTCTGCCTTAACGAAAAAAAAAGGTCTTCCTCACTGGGCTCAAAGATTGGGCGCTAGTTGAGAAGGTTCTTTGAACTGAGGCATTTAGTCTTTTGCATTAAATTTTAAAATATTATCATTCCAAAAATATGATTTTAAAGATCTGTCCAAGGTAACTGAAAATTTTTCACCACCATGTCCCACAGAAACGTTCATAAAAACTTCACGTTATGCTACTTGCTTATCTTTGTCGTCATTGACGTCATGATGACGTCGTTCAACGCGGACAACTACGTGACATGCTCGTTGCCCGCGCCCACTGCATCTTCCAATTTTGCGCGGGAACGACCTGTTTTCCAGCTAACAAAATAGTTGGTTTATGAACGGTTACTCAGAAACGGAAACGAAACTGGGATGCATGCAGGCTGTGGGAACCCGAACTTTCGTACACGCCCCGATATTAAATCCTGCTGTACTGAATATAACCTTAGCTCATGGTGGATAGCAGTACAAAGCATTTCATTTCGAAGCCTGTAATTCAGTTTTCAGTTTCTCTATTTCTCTGTCTAATGTCTCTTTTTCTGTTTCCAGTGCAGCTGTTCTCTTGAGATTTACTTGTAACCTGTTTTCCAGCGTTTGAAGAAGCGGTCCACACATAACCTCCATCAGCTGGCACAGGGCCTTGGTAAAAACTAAAGAAATTAACAAGAAACATGTTAGAACTTAGTCTGCGGTGTACATGACAGTCAAACGCTCCAGCTAGGAACACATGTTAATTTTTTGACTTTTTAAGCCCGCTCCTAAAGGGAACGATAAAGTGTGTTTAACTAATGAGTCCTTTTCACAGTTGCGGGTCCCATCGGCTAACGAGCTCCATCGTTTCCCTGACTCTTTTATACTGTTTATTGTCCCACCGACTGCCCTAGCAAGGGCTTTTAAGGCGGACCTGCAAACAAACTATACGAAAAACCGCCAAAGTTAGAGCGATTCACTCGCCCTAAGGCAATTGGTTTCCAAATTTTCGCTAAGATCGGCTGCGTTCAGTAGGTTTGCTGAAAACTTCAAGTTGGAGCAACTGTCCCACGGTTGTAGCGATCATATGGATCGTTGCAACGGCGACCGCCGAGGTATTCTTCAGTTCTATATCAAGTCTCGTTTTCATAGGATCGTAAAGACTGCTGGACAACACGACCGTAGCGACCATGAAGACTCGCCTCGTTCCCAGTCTCTCCTCTCATCTGGCCGCTTACCTCAGTTCCACAGAAACGCTTGCTGTACAGCCGGGCTAAAATTTTAGTGAGAGGAGAGAGTACAGTGGTGAAAACATTTGGTTACCTGAGCTGTTGTGGACGGCAGTTAAAAGGTCCTGGGAACTGTAAGTAATAATAATTCGAATAAAATTATAAAACGCATGGTCAGTAAGATTATTATATATGTTGTGGTTCAAATTTATTCTTGGTTTAAATTCTATTTTTCTCAGTTTGTTTTTGGCTATGGTAATGTATGATAATGAGTCTGAAACAATGGGAAAAAGAATTTAAACCAAGGAGAAAACTAAACCACAACATACAGTGTATACACGTCCTTAGCCTTAAAAAGCTTAGTCTTACAAATGACAGCATTTCTCGTACTTGCAAAAAAAATAGGGAGTTTAAGATGATACTACCGCGACGGCAACTAGAACGTCAAAACTGGCAACTGGTCAAGATTGGCAAAACAACAACTTTGCACGTGCATCACGCTCTTTTTGCATAAATTTCACTGCACGATTACGACGTGAATTGACTAAGGGCCTCTTCATATGAGCCCGGTTAACTGGGCTGGTTCGGTTACCGCGATGAATTTCGCCTTGGGTTCATATGAGAAAGTTCAGCCCGGTTTCCGAGATGAAAAAAGGTCAAAGATCCTGGGGACGAGTTTTGGCGCCAAATTTGGGAAACAAAGCAAACATGGAGAAACACAAAATTTTTTACTTTCGGGCTTCGGTAACTCTTGAAGAAAATACAGCAGGCAATGCAAGACGATGCCATCCGGACCACGAGAATTCATCCCGCCGTTCATCCCGGTAACCGGGATGAAGTGTTCATATGGCAAAATTTCCAGCCCGATTACCGAGATCTCGGTTGGAAAAACCGAGATCTCGGGAGCCGAGCTAGCCCACCTACTCATATGAACACATCGCAAATTTTACGAAGGATTTAGAGGTAAAGCGAGATCTCGGAAACCGGGCCAGCCCAGTCAACCGGGCTCATGTGAAGAGGCCCTAATTTCACGTTTTATCGACAACGTAAACATATGAAAGACGAATTTCTCTTTCTCTTTTCAAACTTGGATATTTTTGTTCAGAATTCAACAAAAGGACAAAGTAAGCGAGTTTGGATAATGGATGCGGAGTCCTGGGGAGAGAACGCCAACGTAGCCCACCAACTTTCAGCTCAAGCGGTACCCAAACAGTGACTACGGGGTTTCTCGGTCATTTGCTTTCGCTGTTAGTAAAACGCAGGGAAGACGTAATTACTGAAAAACCAGAAGCGTCAAATACTTTCGTGATAGAGTGACAAACAATCTATGATGGGTTTTAAACTGATGATAAAAAGCAATGATTGTAAAAAATAGGAGAAAAGTCGCATTTTATAGTCACGTAGTAGCGACTACGGTACAAGACAGGTCTTCACGTTGTAGAAATTGTCAATTTCGAGTCATCTTAAGAGAAAATATTGGAGACGCTTCTTCGACCGCTTCACAAATGGACCACCTTTTTGAGAATCTTCTAAAAGTAGTCAAGCTTTTGAGAAATTTCGTTGGAAAGATATGTTGTATCACGAATAAGACGAAAAAAATGGTTGCTTGGATATACTTAAACCATATGAGTTTCTGCTTAAACTGCCTCCATTTTAGTAGTGACGTAGACTGCATATGTGAGTATTCTCTCTTCAAATGAGTGATTACACGGGTCAGCGTGGAAACTTGGCTCTCGTCCGTCTTATCTTTCTAGCAAACACGCGTTATTGCTCACTTGCTCATCCCTGGGGGTTACCCCCTAATATAGTACTAATGGAAGTGGTCCAAAAAAAGTGAACAGGCAGGACCCCACCACTCCACGGAAAGAATGGTGGCGTCTTTATATAGACCCCTTCTCCCCTACGAAAAGATTGTGTCTTGTTTAATAGCCCCCAGGACTGTAGCCAGAAAAAAATAAGGACTGCGGCAATATCCATGGTTGAAATCCCCGCCTAGCTACTTAGGGTCTTTATGATGACTACGTTTAAACAAAACACTGGAATCAAACCTTAAATGACTGAGGCAAGTGCCTCGGTTTGCTTCATACTGGCTATGGCCCTGGCCCCCTATTAATTTTATCACCTGGAAAAAAAACTGACTGTTTAAACTTACTCCAATGTTTTTCTGTACGCCTCCTCTTCTTCCTTAAAACAGAAGTGAATTGATTTAGCACTTAAAATTAACTTTGCCTGCGGCTCCAGATGCTCAGGTCACGCTATTTGATTTCTGTTAAAAAGCTTAACGTGTCTTCGCCTCTATTGAATTTCAAAAATAATGATCCAGTTTCGTTACTTAAGACTACATTTAGGTACTGCAACTGTTTCCTGTCGTCTGTTGCTAAGGATGGCGACGCTGGAAGTGGGTTCAAACTTGAAAAAATTGGCAGATTTAAGCTCTACGTCTGCATAAATCACCAAAAAGGATAACGGGTAGTGCTCTTTCATGAATTACTTTTACAATGTATATCTTCTTAATAACTGTTCGTGAGCTATTTCTCAAACAAAGAGCATGGGTACGGGTATTGCGGCACTAAGAGATGACGTAATCACAAAATTGACGTAAAAAATTGATATCCTTGTGACGTACATGTAGCCCTTTTATTAAAAATAAATAAACAAATACTGTAAATGCCTGAATAAGTGCTTGGGGGGTGGGCGCACTCCTACAAGGCCACATAACAAAACACATGGTAACAATACGTTAAATGTCACAAATAGAAATTAGAGGGGATTGTTTTATGAGTGGATTAACGAGCATCTCACCTTTGAGAGTATTTGGGGCAGCTCTGACAAACTGTTTAACGTTGCTTTTGACAAAACCTCGGTGTGAACGACTTGAAGTTCAATTTCTACTCTCTGATTTCTGAGATGAACAAGACAAATCATTATCATAAAATGTAAAAGTGCTAGTGAAACTTTGACACAAAAGAGTACCCCCTAGCAAGAGAAAACCGGAATTCTCCTCAGAATCTTGACAGAATTCCTCCTTACACTGTATCTCAAAGTTAATTACCACCTTGACCCGTGACCTTTGAACCTAACTACTAACTAACTCTTAACCACTTGAGATTTTTTAACCTGGAGAAGCCACCTTTGCCAGGTGAAATGGCCATGTTAAGAACTACCATTTAGGGCTCCTAAATGGCCACAGTGATTGCTTCCACTAACTTCATCTGAACTACAGAACTTACTGTGTTGTTCCCCCATCTGGCCTTGTGTTTAGAGACTGAAAACAGTACACCTTCAGATGACCACCCTGGAAAACAAAATTAAGGGTTGGCGTTGTTTACCCTGTCTTAGTTTATACTTATAATTTTTCACTTATTTAGCATAATTTATTAATGCTTGTAAGAACAGACAATGCTGTTCATGTTCATTCTAATGTTCTTTTCTTAAGCCTACTTGGAAATGCACATAAACTGAATTTATTAAAATATACATGGAACAGAGAATGGTCCAGAATTTTCTTCAGGTAAGTCCAAGGGCAATCTGCTCATTTGGAGGGCATTTCAAACAGAAAAAATGGTGAGTACTTGTGAGATACTTGGGAAGTGGTCGAAATGTAAAAAATCAAAACAAGAGACAATAAAATATGCCTGTCTTTATTACATGATGGTGTCATTTGGGTTTTACCGCACAAAAATGTGGTATTTTCACACGTGACAATAACATATCATCTTCACACATAAAAAGGTCACTGCTGCTATTGCTACATAACAAATCTCACCTTTTGCAGCAAAAAAGTGCAATTGGTACTGGTGTTTATATAATAAACAGAACATTTACATGGCCACTTGGGAAATGAAACTTCTCCTCTCACATTGAAAAATATTTGTCATACAAGACACCATGTAGCCATATAATATCCTCTATGTCTTTCTGGCTGAAAGGGTTAACACACACAATGTCAAGTAAACTCACCAAATTGGGATCAGTATTGAAACAAGAAAAGATAAGGCCAACAAATCTTGCATCCATAACTTGATACATTGCTTGAGTATGCAGATCTTAACACAACAAAGAAAGAACAATGGTTAGTTGAAAGTTATTTCTTTTGTTTACTCTTAGAAAAATCCACATTTCTAACCAATCCACAAAACAAGGCAAAGATACATGTATGTTGAGCATGATAAGGGTATTAATGAGGATTATGGTGAAAACAATGATGACAACAAAAGATGAATTTTTAGTATAAATAGCAAACTTTAAAGTGTTCATCTCACAACATAAATTATAACCAGACTTAACCCTTTAAGTCCCAAAAGTGACCAAGATCAATTTTCTCCTAACACATCCATACACTGTCAAGAGATAAGTTATGTGAATTAATAAAATGATCACCCAAGAGAAATGCCTTGATCTATTATCAAATTCTCTCAACTAATTATTTAAGGAAATGTATGGAGATCAGTTTGGAGAATTTGTATGTGGATACTGGGGCTTAATGGGTTAATGCTTATGAGGAAACTGACGATGATGACGATGGTCACAAAATATTAATGTGAATAGGGCAATGATGAAAAATAAAACTATAGGTGACAAAGATAATGATAAACAAGATCATGATTGTGACTTTGAATTCCTAGAAACAGCAGATCATTATACGTTTCTGGGTTACAAATGTCCACCTACCCCTCCCCTAAGCCGCCATTTTGCCCTAAGTGAGAAGTAAGTGTTAATGTTGGCTTAGGGGGAGGGGTAGGTGGGCAGTTTCCCAGAAACGTATGATGATCCGACATAGTTACCTTACCAACATGTGAAGGCCAGACAGTGATATGAGGGTGAGAATGGTACCAGCCAATGACTCTCATTGGCTGTTGTTTTGATGTCAACATACCCAGTCTCTGGTGGGAGGATGCCAGAACATGAACTATACTGAATACCTAATCTATTCTGTACATGCATACTGTTAACCTCTGTTTACAAGCCCCTCTCACTTTCATGTATAAGCCAACACGTTATAGGCCCTTCTACCCATAAGAGGTATGAGAGGGGAAGGGTCTGAGCCTTTCTTTCTACCCTTATTCTCCTCTTTCCTTTTCTCTCCCTCCCCTCTAGTTCCTACCATAAATCTGGGTGGTCCCTCACCATTACTGTGGGTGGCTGGCACAAGAAGGGGAGGGGGGGAGGAAGGGGGGAAAAGTTTGAGAGGGGAAGGGAGCCTTTCCTTCGCTCCCTCTCCCTCCCCTTTAGACTCCTGCCACACAAGCTACAGTAGCTATTATGGACACTCTGCTAATATAGACAGTAGCTGAGTCCTCCACGAACATTATGAAATGTTTGACTGGAACAAACTCCTGTAAGACACTAACTCAACGTCCTACGATATCAACAATAATGCCAGTTGACTGTGATGATACATGTATTTGAGGTTATCATGATATAATCACAAGGTAAAAAAAGATGATATGTGTCTAAGGTAAATACAAGACTCTATCAACTGTAATTCATTCTCTATTCAGATGCTTTTACCTCTGCCTGTGTGGAGGCATCTGACAGCTGCTCAGGTGAAATTTCCACTCTGTCCTTTCTTTTGTCCAGTCTTTGAAGCATAATGACTGAATAAATATGAGCTACTTTCTCATCTTCAATCTGAAATTAAAAAAATATGGCTCATTTAAGATGATGTTGCACAGGACGATTAGCGATGACGGTTTTCAGCACAACAGAGGGTTACAACATTGTTGCAACACTGAATCGAATGGTTGCAACATTGTTCCAACATTCCAAAGCTGTTATTGCGCTTAAAGCCATCGTTGCAAATAAGTACAAAGTCTTATCTTTCTATCGTGAGTTTTTTTGTCCACTGAAAAAGCATATTCTTCCTTCCCACGTTTAAAGAATTTGGAGTTAATTCTACTTATAAGTACGCTTCTACTAGACATTATTTCTTTGAGTTTTCGTCGCCATCTTTGGTTGTGCACGTGGCAATATTTTTGTTCAGCGGCTTTTATTTGACCATAAACAACTATGTATTTGACCACTCGAACTTTCCGAACATCATGAGCCCGGGAATCACAGTAAAAACCAGCAGTTAAAACCATTGCGAAACAGGCTGAATGTGAGGCACGCAAAATTTGATGGGCAAGATTTCTGGACATGAAATCTCGGCCCCAGAGAGCAAAGTGATCGAAACGTAACCTCTTTATTACTGACACTTCGGCGATCAGGTGGTTTAATATTAGTTTTTAAAATTAACGTAAAATACCATAGCATGTGACCAATGAGAAGAAAAGTAAAAGTGTTCACAAGAAATTACTGTAGCTGTAGCCGATTCAGAAAAACATATGTGGAACTTTTTACGATCACTTACAGTAACAATTACAAATCAAAGGCATATATAAATGCCCCATTTTGTTTTTAGTTACTGAACACGTAAAACTGCCAGTGGAGTCTTAAAAGTCTTCATCGTGTGACCTCTTTTATATGGACACCTCTCTAATATAAGGGGACATTTTGCTCTGTCCCTTTGGTGTCCCTATTAGAGAGGTTCGACTGTATTATAGATGTGATATGTTTACCACGTGGGACTGTCATAGCAAAAGGCGCACTCGTAACCTGCGAGCTGTAAGGCCATAAAATAGCACCTTCAACAGACTACATAAATCAGACTGAAGAATCATGAAAATCGCTTGTGATGTGCATGTTTAAAAAAATTGTGAAAAAAAACTTGAGCACCCTTTTTTTTTTCTTGAGCATGCTTTTTTTACGTGCATTTGTCTCATAATAGTTGAATTTTTGTAATGCTCTTCTATATGGCTTACCACATTTGGTTCTTGCATGATAGTCTACAGCTTTTTCAGGGTGTCCAGCGGCATGGTTGCTCAAAAAATAGGAAAATAGGAAACTCAGGATTGAGAAAATAGGAAAAATAGGAAACTTTGTATTAAAAAATAAGAGAAAAATAGGAAAATCAATAGTACTTTCGTCGACAAAGATAGCCTCCCTGCAACTCATCAGCACTATAATAAAGGCTATGAGTCCTCAGCTTCAGTCTACGTTCGCAGGATTTAGGTCATACTTTCGCGGCTTAGAAGGAGTGAAAATGATCAGTAATTAAGAGCCAGTCTCTGTAAGATCCTCATATCGAGTTTTGCCCACCAAATGGATTTCGCCCAAAATTTTTCTGTAGACTTCTTTTAATAAGTATATAACAAATATGAAACTAGATTGGAGAAATTCGCTTCTGTAAATTTTTTTAAACGAATTTTCCTTAGGCACCACATGAGGACCTGAGATGCTTGTGAAATATGCAAATTTTGTCAAAATTCAACCGATTGTTCCGGATAAAAGAGTGCGACCCAAAGCTTCCAATTTACTAGTTATTTTAATTGAGCCTTTTTCTTTAAAATAATACAGGTCAGAATCATCGACACCTTTTCGTTTAGAAAATCTGAGGAAACACACTTAGCCCCTTTGACCCATTTAGCGAAACATGCAATTTTAGAGGGGTGAGTGGCGAAACCTGCTTACTTGGCCATTTCGCCAGCGTTTCGCCATCGCGAAGTCCAGAAGGATTGTCAGAATAGAAAGTGAGAAATCGGGTATTTACCACTCGAAAATTGTCAATTCCTAAAGACTGCATACTTTAAATCACTGCTTTCCATGTGGCTATGGTTCTAACCCAACGAAGAAAAGGGAGAAGGCAGTGAGCGTAAGCTTTGTAATTACTGTCCTCCAAGTTTTTCTAGTGTTTGTGGAAGGGGGGAATGCCGAATCGGGAATCCGGAATCCGGAATGCGGAATTCGCGACCTTTTTCCTTTTGTTGTTTGTGGAAAATCATTTCGCATTTACAATATTTTTTTGCATCTCTTATTTTTAACTGTAGAATATTAAGCAGGAAGTCTCAGAAGTCTTTTTAGCCTGTTCTAGGCACTAGGGGAATTCCCTATCCAAACTGTCGCTGCTGTTGAAAGGTGTCTCAATTTACATGTAAATATTTTTCTTCTCATTAAAAAACACCTGAACAGTGCAAATGTGAAGTGTCAATACGTCATTTTAAGCTTATATTATTTTCCTCGCTTTCGCTATTTTTCCTCGTCTTTTCCTTTCTAAGTGCGTGATTTTCAGGCTCAGTCAGAAACGAACCTTCCGCTTTGCCTAATAATAATATTTATTTACCTGTAAGTTGTTACTTCTTTTGCACTCCAAGAAATCGACTTGTGAATGTCTTTGAATAGCATGAGAATTACTTTTCCGGAACTTTGAACAAATCACTGTTGAGATTAATTCAGGCTCACAAAGTTAACGGGGGTGACTGTGAACAAGCTCTAGCATGTGATAGGGAACGCCCTCTTTTCCTCGTGCCTCTGCGCCCTTACTCCCGCTGATGTCCCAGCTTTTATATACCGTTGGTTTTTAGCAAACTTTCTTTGCTGTGCAAAACATTTCAACAAACTGAATTGAAACATTAAGTCTCTCACATGAGGTGGCCTTCAAAAGGTAAGTACGTGATTAGGCAGACTGTTTTTTTTTTTTTTTTTTTTTTTTTTTCACGTACTGCAAAAATCTAAAATGTGCTTAGTGGCCTGGCTATTCTCGCATGAAGTTCATTCGATGATACGACTCTGAAAATCTTCAATGTTGGAACACTGGAAAACTTTGCAAGAGGGCTAGGTAAATGCCCTTGACACCCTTTATGACTTATTCTTGATACTTGATAATCTTCTTTCTAAGGGTGAGAGCCTAAATAAATACAGCACGTTTTCACAGCTACGATAAATAGAATCTACCACATGGTTCAAATAAAGAGGGTTTCTTTAACTGAGAAGTTTATGATCTGCTTAATAAATAAGTGCAGATGAATATTTCTCACACAAGGCAAATAAAACGGAATTTTCTCAATTGCAGTGGAACAAAATACAATTTAGATGTTCTAACATAAATGTGTTTATGTTCGGAATTTGCATTTATGGCCGCAGTTTGATCCTCTAGGGATTTTACGTCACATCTCGGTATTTAAGCCTTGTCGCCTCTCGCGTTAGTCACTCGACACAGCCAGTTTTACCGCTCGCACCTTGCCGAGCTTAATTTTTCTAGTATGCTGTTTACGTTTAGTCTCGTAGTTTACAGTGATGTAATTCGTTTTTCTCCGCCACTACTTTATTTCTCGTACGTTAGCTTTTTCTCGTCCCCAATAAACACAACTGGTCGTGTCCTTCCTATTTCAACGTGTTGTTGCCTTTCTGCTGATTAGAACTTAAACGTTTTCTCTGCGGCGGAACGCAGTGACATAGCAGAGAACACAAAATGTTATGTTATGTCATGTTAGAACATCAAGCCTGGCAGATATTCAGGTTCTTCATTTGCTTTTAATGCATTCACAGAATATTAATTGAATTACTAGAGACCTCAGGACGCCTTGGCATTGTGGGTACAGCACAAATAAACCTTAGACATGAAAAACTGCAAATAAGCTTTTACATCAACGAGTTCCATTTATGAAATAATTCTATGTTCTTAGAAACAGTCTGTTTTTTTTTTTTAATTCTGCACACTTTTCTTTACTTGGTTTCTTTTATTTGTATATATTTATTTTAGGAATGTCAGGTAAATTGTTTTAAAGCCTGTGAAATAATCATTTTGTAGTAAACATTGGGTGACACACGACTCCTCTGGCTACTTGACGTACAAAATGAAGCAAAATTTGAATCTTCCTTATACTTAATTTATCCTTTTTCCCATTTGTTTATGCCCAGCCACTTCTTTAATAAAAAAAAGGACAGGGGTTAAAACAGAACAATTGAAGATACTCACGTGACCCCACATGAACAAGGGTAACAAAAATCTCGCGGATTTCTTGAATGCGCCATTTGCCAGTTAATTGTTTTTTTTTTGTTACAGTGAAGGGCAATCTTTTTTTCCTTCATAGACAGGATACCGACAGTTTTACGTGGCCGCCAGTATAATTATACCGAGACTTTGCTTATAGGCAAGGCAAAACACCATCTTTTCTACTAATTCATGCGAACGATTAAACTTTCCCGCCCTTGCCAAACTTAGGTCATATTCGGTGACCTACGTACGTGAAAGGTTACAGCTTCTTGGATGGTTCTTTACTTGGACAACGCACTTATTTAGTGCAAAAAAATTTGTCTTTACCGCGCAAGGAAGCACGAGTAATATTTGCTACTCCGGCAAAGGAACACTTCGCAGGTGCATGTGCCATTTTGGTTGTTTGCTAGTAACGCCACTGCAATTTAGGTGGTCAGTGGGCTATGGACCGCTTTGAAGAATGACTGAAAGTTCTTCGGTACTTGAGAACGGTCTAAATCTTTTATTGAAAACTTTATGGAGATAGAACGGGGGACAAAGTTTGTAATCTAAGCGGGGCAGTTGTGACGTGCTAAGTATCGCAACTTTGAACCCTCGGTTTCAGATGAAACTGTCGAAACTGGATGACCGCTAAGGGAAGGTACGTTTTTTATTGGGGGCGGGGGGGGGGATGGGCCAGGGTATTTTGGAACTTTTTTACGAAGAAAGTCGTGGCCCTCCCACTTCCTGGAAGGGATTAATGCATGACCCTTCAGAAATACCCAAACAAAAACATCTGACCCTCCCCCCTACCTATCCAAGACAAAAGTACCCGGAAGTGAAAATAACAAACTGGAAGTGTTACTCGTATAACCGGGTTCATCTGCGCACGAATGAAAGTAGTTAATTGCGTGGCGTGTGATTGTAGGGTGAAAACTTGAAAATGGGCAAGGATGTACGAGGAATAGAAAGAGGGAAATGCAATATTGCAATGTTGGAGTGCAACCCCCACCAATGGTCGTGAGCCGGACGACTTCCAGCCTCGAGCTCAGATTAAGCGATTGTTTGAGG